ATATATATATATATATATATAGGGTCAAGTTCAAATGTTAACCAAAGTTTTTGTGTTAACTTTGTTAACCGATCTTGACCATTCAATCTTTCAATAAACGGTTGTGATTAATCATGATAAAAACTTATTTTTTTAATTTTAAAATTTCATAAAGATAAGTGAACAAAGTTGAAAAGGGTATTTAGGTAATTTTTTAATGTAACTCCCATATCATTAATTGGGAGTTACAAAATCAAAAAATTCTATGATTTTTGTTAATGTAAAATCATATGAACACAACTATATACATATGAACTATTGTGTCAAATACGAACAAAAAATCGACATATATATGAACTTTGGCTGCAAATCATTTATGAACACAATATGAACATAATAAGAATAACTATTATACGAAAGGAAATAAATAAAAAAAAKGTATGAACACGATATGAACAGCTTGTGAACAATAGTTSCTTCATTATAAACATATTCAGGAGCGATCATTTGTCAATTGGAGTTTTATACATGCATTGCATCCACGCCGTTTAAGGTTCACCCCTTGTTCATATATGTTTCTGGTCTTATGTGGTTGTTCACCCCTTGGTCATATCGTGTTCACCCTTGTTTATATCGTATAAAATATATGAACACAAAACCCCGACGCTATGAACATCGGATGCAAACACTTACACAAATATAAAGATTTGGTATCAARCTTAAAGAATAACACTTGTGTTCATATGATAGAAGTAACATGAAAACGATGGTTTATGATTCATACAAGTCGGTAATATGACAATATGAAAATGAGTCGTGCATGTACTTCCATTTGAACATGTRAATTAVATACRTATTAATAATTAAAGAAAAAAGTTATCAACACAATATGAACTACAAGAAACACAACACATCATAATAAACATAATTTCGATTAAAACGAGTTTAATAAAATATTAATCCATTACCAAGACATTCGCTTTGGTTAATTTCTTTACTTCCCGAACTCGAACTCCGATTGTCACCATAAACCATTTTAATCTTCTCAATGTTGTCGATTTTTTTTCAACGTGTTTATCAATAATAGCTTTAACAATACCGAAGATTTTACTACCGTGTTTCCTCCACGAATCAAAAACTCATAAAACAATAAAAATGRAAGATCAAGAATAAAAAAATAAATAAAAATATCAATATTATAAATGTATATTTTTAGGAATTTTATGATTTTGTAACTCCCCTTAATGGTATGGGAGTTACATAGCAAATGAAATGACTAAATTACCCTTGATATTAAATTGTGAACATGATAGATACCTAATAGAAGAATGGATTGTGATTGGTTGACATGGTTTGCAAAGTTAACACAAAAACTTTGGTTAACATTTGATCTTGTCCCTATATATATATATATATATATATATATATATAGAGAGAGAGAGAGAGAGAGAGAGAGAGGTGGAGGGAACCCTGTGATGTGCGGACAACATGTTCTACAATTTAGGTCGTGCCAAAGATTGTCTACGTCTATGATTTAACAATTAGCATCACATGTGATGGTCTTGATGAGTTATAGTATCATATCAACAACACATTTATCACATGTGATAATACTTGTGAGGGGGCTTAATGGTGTAAGGGCGACTTGGCCCGCAACCAAGATCGCATAGAAAATCACCCGCATCTCTGATTTAGTATCACATGTGTATCATATGTGATGGAATAATAGTATCACATGTGATTGTCTATAGGGGCCTAATCAAATGAGAACTAATTAGTTTGTGGTAACCGTGAGATCCAATCTCCACCACAAATCAATAGATAAATTAGAAAATTTATAATTTTGGTAATTTTGAATTAAAATTTTAACGCAATGACATTTTTGGTATTTTAAAACTCTCCTCTCTTCTCTCTCCGGCCACCGTCCTCCGGTGATACCACAATGGTATCACAATGCATCATATATGTGTTTGGGTATCACATTGAGGTCGTTTGTGTGGTTGATCGGAGATATAACACAGTGGTATCACAATGCATATTATATATGCTTGGGTATCAAACTGTATCTTTTTTTTTAACAGAGTCAATATTTTTAGGTATCACAGTGGTATCACCGGAGGACGGTGGACGGAGGACGGAGGACGGAGAGAGAAGAGAGGAGAGATGAGAGAAAATACCTAAAATGTGCTTGCATTAAAATTTTAATTCAAAATTACCAAAATTATAAATTTCCTAATTTATATATTGATTTGCGGTTGATATTGGATCTCACAGTTACCGCAAACTATTCAGTTCTTCCTTGAATGGACCCCTATATATATATATATAGAGAGAGAGAGAGAGAGAGAGAGAGAGAGAGTTTGTTTCAAATACAATCTATCGCATTTGTTTAATTGAAATATTTATGAAAATAATAAGAGTTCATTTATTATGATTTAAATATTTATGGAAGATGAATATGGTTCATTAATTATGATTAATAATTTATATTAGGAAATAATCAATTATAAATTACATATTCATCAAATTAAATGGACGATTGAGATTGAGTTGTATTGGTTATACAAATGTAAGAGGTTATATAATAACTCACCTCTCATATATATATATATATATATATATATATATATATATATATATATATATACATATGGGTTGAGTTCACGTAAGACCAAGGGTTTTTTGTGAGATCCGTAAGACCAATTTATGTTCATTGATCAAATTTATAACTAATGATCTAAAAGTCTAAAGTTGCATGGTGACAATTTTGTGATTATTGAGAAGTCTCGTGGCAATTTGTGATTATGAATGTTCGGATTGTAGATTTAAATCCAAGGGTTGAGAATTGGTCTTACAGGTCTCATGAAAAACTCTTGGTCTCACATGATCCCAAGTCTATATATATATATATATATATAACACATAGGTAAGATGTTAGTTGTAACTTGTTAAAACGGAAATTAGACTCAACTAAAAAGAAAAAAGACAATTATTTATTGATGAATCAAGTTGGGACGTCGGTTGATTGACCGAATGTAAATAACCATCAATTTTATAGAAGCACGGTGAAATGATGTGACCTCATTCACTCACTTGTGTAATATCCTTCTAAAAATCCTCACCACAACTAATTGGTTTATTATGACTTTTTGTTGGAGTATTTAATATGATTTTTTTAAGTAACAAATGTGTGT